TTTTTTTTTTTTTTTTTTTTTGGTGGAACCGGGGATTGAACTCAGGCCCTTGCACTTGCCAGGGAAGCACTTATTCCACTGAGCCATCTCCCCGGTCCTCCCAGCCTGTTTCATCGGTTTTTTGTTTTGGGGGGGTTTTGTTTTTGTGAGGTAGGGTCTCATTAAATCACTGGGATGCCCAGAGTGTGTTTGAATTTGAGGAAATCCCCCTGTCTTACAGGCATGTGCCACCATGCCCTACTATATTGCTTTCTTTTCTTTTCTTTCTCTTTCTTTCATTCATTCTCATTCTCATTCTCATTCTCATATTCTCTCTCTCTCTCTCTCTCTCTCTCTGTCTCAATTAGGGATTTAAGCCAGGGCCTCTTACCAGTGAACCGAGCACTATCCCCTTGAACTACAATCCCAGCCCCTGTTCTCTAACTTTAAGAACACACAATTTGGTAGCAAAGATGTCTTGGTGTGCTCATCTGGTGAAGTGGAATGATCGGAAGTGATCGTGTAATTCGAAGATCAAGAGCATTGGCCTCCAACTTCATTTTACTGAAACTTCCCGGAGTATTTTATGAAATGTTTTCTCCCTACTTTCTATCCCTTTGGTGCTGTTGGTCTGTTTGTTATTTTTTGCATCCTACAGAAAACACCTGGGCCCCCATGCACTGGGCAAGCGCTCTGCCTCTGCACTGGGCCTGGCCCTCCTCACTAACACTGTCAGAAACATGGTCACCACATTTTTTTTTTTTTATCAACAATAATCACTGTGGGGCTGGGGAGATAGCTCAGTTGAATAAGCGCTTGCCTGGCAAGTGCAAGGCCTGAGTTCAATCCCCAGTTCTGGAAAAAAAAAACAATAATCACTCTGAGTCCAGCATGGTGGCCACACACTTGTGACCCAGCACTTGGGAAGCTGAGGCAGGAGAATCTTGGAGAGTTCCACGTCATACTGAACTACATAGCAAGACAGTGTTGCAAAAAAACCACAACCTCCATCCCTGGTGCTGAAAAACAAATTATTCTGGCTATAAACATAATACATACGTATTGTAAAAATGTATGAAAGTCCTCAAAATATACACCTTTTCAAATCACCCTAATTTCCCTAAGAGACCTTATTTAGTTCCAGGCCATTTAGAGAGAAATAAATAATTTGTGCGGTGACTCCTCAGAGAATGCAAGCCTGTGCCCTTTGAACGTTTTGTGTGTCCCTTTTCCTGTTACACAGGCTGCCTGGCTGATCAAAAACTCCAGCATTTAACCTGACCCAGGAGGGTGACGCTGAAACTCATTATTTTCTGTTAGTTCCCAAGCCCTCCAAACTGCCCCGGGCGCCGGGAAATAGTGGGGGATTGTCTCCCGTCCACCGCGAGGCTCCCTGGTGCCGTGGCCCCTGCTGTGACCCTGCAAGGACTGCTGCAGGCAGGGTGGAGGCCCTGCGCAGGGCCGCCCCGGGCAGCCCTCAAACTCACCAGACGGCCTGAACTTGAAGCAGGAGGGACAATAAGTAAGGTGTCTTGGGCTGGGGATATGGCTCGGGCACGGGTGCTGCCCGGCAAGCACGAGGTCCTGAGTTCAACTTCCAGACCATAGAACAAGTAAGACGCGTCATTGGGTATTCTTCTAAATTTATGTGCAGTTAATTTTGTGGACCATGTGAAAAGACTGCCTCTTGAAGAGAACTAGCAATTTAGAAAAAGAAAAAAGTGGGCAGATGCTGTGCTGGCCCTGCCCCCAGGGCGCGCCGAGCAGGCCACTCACCGGTCCTGGGTGTGGAGGTGCATGCCTGAAAACAGGAGGATCACTGTGGGCCCAAGCTGCATGGTGAGGCCCTGTACCACATACATAAAAAGAAAAAAAATCCCATCTGAGGCAGAAATATCGCTTGGAACTTGAGGCCTGCCTGGGCTACATAGCGAGACCCTGCCTCAAAAAAACAAAACAAGGGGGCCAGGGAGATGGCTCGGTGGAATAAGCGCTTCCCTGGCAAGTACAAGGGCCTGAATTCAATCCCCAGCTCTAGAAACAAACAAACAAACAAACAAACCCCCTAATCCCTAATGATTTGCAATTTGTATGTTTCAGTACCCAAAGGTAAAGATTTGGACCTGGCGGGCCGGGATTTGGACCGGGGGTGGTGGTAACCCTGTAATCCCAACACTTGGGAGGCAGGAGGATCCTTGCGAGTTTGAGACCAGTCTGGGCTACAAAGTGAGCTCAAGGCCAGCCTGACTGAATAAAGAAACCCTGTCTCAAAAGAGAACCCCCTACATGGGAAATGTATTCCTTTTTCTCTATCCAGTATGTTTTTACCAATTATTTTTATGAATTTACAGCTCTCACAAAGATACTGTAATTCTTTTTCTTTTAGCAGGGGTCAGGGGATTGAGACAGAGCCTCATTAAGCAGTTCAGGATAGCTTTAAACTCACTATATAGCCTAGGCTGGCCTTGAACTTGCAGCAATCCTCCTGCCTCAGCCTCCCAAGTGCTGGGATTACAGGTGTGCGTCATTATGCTATGCACATTTCTACTTTTTTGTGTGTGTGTGTTGTTTTAGGGAAGGGTCTACAGGGTTTTCAGGGTCTCACTACGGGATCAGACTTGTAGTGATCCGCCTCTTTACAGCCTCCCAAGAGCTTTCAATTGCTGGCTCAGCACACCCCAGGGGCAGGACCTGTGCCCAGGCCCCTGTGCCTGCTTGCAGGTGCTTTAATCCGCTGAGCTATTTGGTTGGCCCTCTATTTCTAAAGACAACATTCAGGGGCTGGGGAGATGGCTCAGTGAAATAAGCGCTTCCCTGGCAAGCATAAGGGCCTGAGTTCAATCCCTGGTTCTGCCCAAAAAAATAAATAAATAAAAAATAAAGACAAGATTCAGCCTATACTTCTGTATTGTGTTTAAATCATATTCTTCCAAAAATGATGGTCTGGTACATACTGTAAACATGACCTATTATATATAAGAATATAGATGGTTAGGGGCCGGGGAGATAGCTCAGTGGCTTAAGTACCTGTCTGGCACTCAAAGGTCCTGAGTTTGATCCTTGGTACTGCCAAAAAGAAAAGTCCTCATCAAGAATATAGATAGTTGATGTAAATTAGATTCATTCCAATTAGCCACACTCACTATAAGTCTTCATTTAGTGAGGTTTTGGCTTACATTGATCAGAAATGATAAAAGTAGAGGCAGGCATGGAGGTGCACACCTGTAATCCCAGCACTGGGAGGCTGAGGCACGAGGCTCTCCAGTTGGAAACCAGCCTGGGCTACATGAGACCCTGTCTCCAAAGAAAATATAAGAAAAAAATAAAAACAGAAATGATGAAGTTGTATACCTTTCCTAACAAAAGCTAACAATGGCTCTCCCTCTCTGTCCGCTCTTCTTTCTCTCTGTCTCTCTGCCTGCCTGCTCTGCTCTGCTTCTCTCCAGCTATCCCCGTAGAGACTGCCAAGCAGAACCCTAACGTCGCCCTGGTCCTCACCTCTCACGGAGGCCACATTGGCTTTCTGGAGGGGCTCTGGCCCAGGCAGTGCACCTACATGGACCGCGTCTTCAAGCAGTTCGTTCAGGCCATGGTGGAGCACGGGCACGAGCTGGCGCGCACGTAGCCTCGGGCCCTCCGGCCGTGGCCACGGGCCCAGCGAGAGGACCAGGACAGGGCGTGGAGATGCCTCCTTAGGGAACAAAATGACCTTGTAGCAAGACATCAAGCATAGATTAGATTGTTACTTACGTAGATTTTATTTTTCCTATGCCTTACCAAGTATGACCTTAAATGAAGTAGTCCTTCTGTGATGTGGAGTTGCACTTAACCAAAACCAGTGTAAACAGAGTTTAATTCCTCAGGGTTGTAATTTAGGCTAATATTTTTTAGAGGACTCATTTTAGCTGACTTATGTGCAGTACTTTACTAAGGCGTAAGAGACCAGGGTTGTATGAGTGCAGGGTTAAGAGGGCACAGGATAGCAGGAAGCCAGATACAATTCACTGAGCCAGAAGGGAAGTGCACAGTGTTAGGCCGACTTCCGCACGTGCTCTGTTACTCCAGTGATGTTAAAGTAGGGCTGATTTGTGTTTTATAACGGTCATGATTTACAAGCTTATTTTTAAAATAGTATGTGTGCACATATATATCATTATATTGAAATAAATTCTCTCATTTTAAATTATTTCCTTGTGAGTTTTTAATCTACAAAAAGGATCCAGATAGTAATTTATGATCATTTCATACATATGCTAGAATTTAGTTTGGGGTTTGGTTGGTTGAGTATGTGAGACTCACTGTGTTGTTCAGGCTGAACTTGAACTGATTGTGTAGCCCAGGCTGGCCTTGAACTTGCACCGATCCTCCTACCTCAGCCTCCCGGGTACTGGGATTACAGCTGAGCACCACCACACCTTGCTCACTAGTAAAAAAGAAAAACTGTCTTGCTTTACACTTTCCAGAATTTTGGGCCCATATCATTTATACCAATTAGGAACACTTTCGGGGCTGGTGAGATGGCTCAGTGGTCTAAAGCACCTACTTAGAATAAAGCTAAGCTAAGCAAAAGCACAGGGACCGCGGTTCAAGCCCCAGCACCACATGCCAGCCTGCCCCGCCCCCTGGCGGGCTGAACTGGCCACACACACACGAAATAAATAAATAAATTAATAGATAAATAAATAAATAAATTAAAAAAAAAAAAAAAAAATAAATTAAAAAAAAAAAAAAAAGGAACACTTTCATTGCCTGGTGTGGTGGCACGGGCTTATAATCTCAGCACACAAAAGGCTAAGGCAGGATGATGGCATGTTCAAGGGGGCTACATAGTGAGACCCCCACCTCAACCGAAACAGCAAAATGGCAGGACTCCCAACAGTTCCTAGAGGGATCATTGTATTGCAACTGTGGGTGTGGTTCAGTGGCAGAATTCACAAGGGCCTTGGTTTGATCCCCAACGCCATACACACACACTCACACACAATTTGTAGATAGGGATGTAGAGATACAGATATTAAGAAAACAGAAAAAGTCAGACATGGTGCCACGTGACTAATTCCAGGACCTGGAAGGCTGAGACAGAAGGATTACGTGAAATTCAAGGCCAGCCCACACTACCTAGTAGTGCATTCAAGGCTACCCTAGACTACATAGTGAGATCCTATCTCAAACAACAATTAAGAAAAGATATCATGAGTAGTTTCTTGGTAGGAAAAACAAAATAGGGCTGGCACAGGGGTTACCAACGTCACCCACAACCCAAGCTGCATTTGCCTGCCACAAGGCGAGGTGGCGATCTCCTGGACACATAGTAGTTGCTGCAGCTCCAGCCATCCTGATTTGTGTCTAAAGAAAGAAAAAGAGAAAGAATGGGTGAAACACACCTGCCTTCCCTCAGAGGATGGAGCAGGCTTTCCCAGAGGGTTGCACTTGTATCCATAGAACTGTGTCTCATGTCCCCCCTCATGCCTGAGGTAGCAGTGCCAGTGCCATGTGAGTGTGGCTGGGCACACAGTGTGTGCTGCTCAGAGGTAGCTCAGGCCAGCAAGGGATCGGGCTGGCAAGGCTGCTGGGGTCCTTGTCAACATAAGCATCCTTCATGCCATTCAATGCTTTTTTCTTCCCTTTTTCACTACTTCACCAATCAGCCAGGCGTGGTGGCTCACCCCGTAGTCCCAGTACTTGGGAGGCTGAGGCAGGAAGATCGCTGTGAGTTTGAGGCCAAGGCCAGCCTGAACTACATAGTAAGACCTTGTCTTATAAAAAGAAAAGGAAAGGGCCGAGGAGATGGCTCAGTAGAATAAGCGCTTGCCTGGCAAGCTCAAGGGCCTGAGTTCAATCCCTGGTTCCGCAAAAAAACAAACAAAAAGAAAAAGAAAAAAAGAGTGTATATTGATGTTTGGCTGGCCTGACTCATATTTTAAATGTCTTCAGGGCTGGTGAGATGGCTCAGTGGTCTAGAGCACCTGCTTGGAACAAGCTTGGCAAAGCACAGGGACCACAGTTCAATCCCCCAGCACCACATGCCAGCCAGCCCCGCCCCCTGGTGGGCTGGGCTGGCCACACACACAAATAAATAAATAAATATAAAAAATAAATAAAATGTCTTCAGTGAGATACTATTTACATATAATTAGGAAGGAGATAGACACTGCCCAGGATAAGATGGGCGCATTTTGCAGCTTGACTCTTCGGAGATAGGACACTAGGGTTGTGGAGGGCACTGCTGGGAAGACAGCCGCTGGGGATGGATCTGACCACACCATTGCAGTGGGGACACATTGAGCTGGGAGAAACCTGGGTACAGAGGAGGCCCTGAGTCTCAGGGACTCATCGGAGATAACCACAGAGACTGGGAATCTAATGCTTGTGCTCCAGTTATCCACAACAATTAAAGAACTACAAAACTAATTTCCATCCAGTACCCTCAGCACACAGCCTGGGGTGTGGCTGAGCTCACAGAAGGCACAGCCCTCAGAGTCTCACCTCAGAATCCTGGTTATCTTTTTTTCTTTTTTCTTTTTTTTTTTTTTTCTTTTTTTTTTTTTTTTTTTTTTTTTTTTTTTTTTTTTTTTTTTTTTTTTTTTTTTTTTTTTTTTTTTTTTTTTGCCAAACCAGGGATTGAATTCAGGCCCTTGCACTTGCCCTGGCCCCTAAAATCCTGGTTATCTTGAACTTGGCTTGAACCCTCTCTGTAGCTCAGGCTGGCTTCAAACCCATGCTGGCCCTCCTGCGTCAGCCTCCCCAGTGCTGGGATTGCAGGCTGCACCACCACACCCAGTTTACCACTAATCTTTAGCTCTAAACCTTTGCTTGTTCTAGACTGTTTACGAAAAATGGAGCTCTAGGAAAGAACCGAACTCATCATGTCATGGACGTGTGCGCACCTCTGTCTATAGCAGTAGTCTGTGATAGCCAAATTTGGGGAGCAGCCCAGATGCCCACCAACTGCTGAATGAATACAAAAGATGTGTATTTTTTAAGTAACAGAGTACTACTCTGCTATAATGGATAAGTTTGGGACATTTCTAGCCAAATGGATGCACCTTGGGCCCATGCTCATTAGACTCACATGTATACGTGCCACATGCTCTCTCTGGTATGAGAAACCAAAAGGGTAAATGAGGACATAAATGTATAACAGAGGGGCTGGGGAGATGGCTCAGTAGAATAAGCGCTTGCCTGGCAAGCACAAGGGCGTTCAATCCCTGGTTCTGCCAAAAAATTAAAAAAGTATAACAGATATTGGGAAATGGGAAGAAAGTGTCCAGATGGGGAGCCAGGGAGGGGGAGGGAAGACGAGAGAGAAAAAAAGACTAGAAGACAAAATGGAAGCACAGCTCTCATTCTGGGGACCCTTTTCATGGTGCCGATTATTGAGGCTCCCCGCAATGAGTCCCCAGTCTCCTGCTAAGTGTTATGGTGCAGGGCAGGAAGAAAAGAAAGAGCAAGGCTGGAAAATAGAGGGTGCACAGCAGGGACCTGGGGCAACCAGTTGCTCTCTAGGAGCAAAAGGCCTCGAGGCCCGGGGACCTTGGCACTCATTCATTACATGTGCGGCTCACAAGGGGGAAGGCCAGGGATGTTTCCAGGAACAGCCATGGAACATCAAACATTTTGGGGACAAGACAGGGGCTTAAGGAAACTGCGGTTTCCCCTGGTGTCGTTGGCAGGTCCTACCTTTCCCTGTGAGGTGGCAGCGCACCAGGAAAGAGCTGAGTTTCCAGGCTCCAGTCGGGCTCAAGGGCGGGACAAGAACAGCCTGGGTCATCCTCTAGACTTGACTTATAATTCATGCTCCCCAACACTTTTGTGAATGAGAGGAAGAGGGGTTGGAGGGAGGAGAAGAGAAAGGGAAAAAAGAAGCAAGATATAGCATGGATGGCTACAGATTTCCGAAGAGGAATGTGATCATCTGTATGTCTAAAACACACCAGGGGCCAGCCTGATAGCTCAGCAGACTAAAGCACCTGCTTAGGCAGACCCAGGGACCAGGTTTGATCCCCGAGGGGGCCAGGGAGATGGCTCAGTGGAATAAGCGCTTCCCTGGCAAGCACAAGGGCCTGAGTTCAATCCCTGGTTCTGGGGGGGGCATGATCCCGGCTTGCCTTGCCAGCCCTGTCCCCTGGGGGCGTGCTGATGGCGCTGAGACTGGGCGTGATGGTGCGCACCTGTACTCCCAGCACTTGGGAGGCTGAAAACAGGAGGATCACTATGAGTCTATCTGTGTAGTGAGACCCTGTGCTAAATACATAAATAAATAAATAAATAAATAAATCATACCAATAAAATTAATTTTAAAACATAGAACCATACATTAGCTGGGTTTTTTTCTTTTTTTTCCAGAACTGGGGATTGAACTCAGGCCCTTGCACTTTGCCAGGGAGGCGTTTATCCTCTGAGCCATCTCTCCGTTCCCAATTAGCTGGGTTTTATGACAACTCTAATCCTATAGCACTCAGGAGGCTGAGGCCGGAAGGATCCCTGTGAGCTTAAGGCCAGCCTGGGCTACATTTCAAGACTGTCTCAAAACAAAAATGTTTAAAAGGGGTTGGGGCTGTAGCTTAGTGGTAGAGCGCTTCTCTATTATATGTGAGATTCTGGGTTCAATTCTTAGCACTGGAAAAAAAAATCCTTAGCTTGTAGATGTTTTTCTGAGTATTTTGGTTTTGTCCTGTGGGGCTGGGGATCAAATACAGGCCCTGCGCGTGCTTAGGTAACCGCTGTTTTCTGGTGAGTTCCCTTGCACTGCCCACCTGGGACTCTAGCCCTCGGTGGTCCCTCAGCACCTGCCCATCTTCTCCTGTCACCCCTCAAGTCCAGGCCTTTTGTGGACTCCATCTTGCAAAGTTTTCACTTGCTGACTGCCAGATATAGAACAGAATACTAGATCCAAAAACAATTGGAATTTCTTTAATATATAAAAAGCTGCCCAGGCTGGGGAGCTAGGTCGGCAGCATAAGCACCTGCCTTGCAAGCTTAATGTCCTGAGTTCGATCCCCGGTGCTACATACCAGGCTGACGCTGGAACCGGGCATGTGGCGCACACCTATGATCCTAGCAGACACAAGAGGATTACTATGAGTCTGAACTGCTTAGAGAGACCCTGCATCAATCAATCAATAAAAAGCTGCCACAAATCAAACAATACTCACAACTCAGTAGAAAAT